TTAGGTGTATGTGGCTGGTGCCTTAGCCCCTTGAGCCACAGGCGCCAAGCCAAAAGGTCATGTTCTTAACCATTGTATTAGTTTTCTATTGCTGCTAGAACAAAATACTACAAACTTACTGTTGAAAAACAATAAAAATTCCTGTCCATATTGTGTTATGCTGACATCAAGAGAAAGTGGCTCTGGATAGAGAAATATGATCTTGTGTAAAACAGCTATTTTAATATACATTTTAATCCAACTATAAAAATCCTTATAAAAGGATACTACTGTGCTTTCTTAAAGCCCGAGAGTTTGAGGTTGCTGTGAGCTATGACACCATGGCACTCGACTGAGGGCGACATAGTGAGAGACTGTCTCAAAAAAAAGGAATAAAAATAAATAAATAAGGGTTGTCTCTTTCTGAGTTCATCCTTCATTTTGATTATGAATAGGAAAATGAGTAATAAAATTGGTGCTACTGTGGAGCTAGGCACAGGGGCATAGAAGAATTCCACCATTACCTGAAAAAAAAAAACCCTATGTGCTAAGAACCAACATAACCACACAAATCAGGTAATACACACAGTATCATATCAGTGACATTCCACTTTATCCAGAAAAGGCACTTCCACGAGGCATTTACACTTGTCTATTAACATCACCTCAGACTCTAAATGTTTCCTATATGTGGACATAGTCCTCACCTTTCCAGATCCAAACACTGCCTCTTGGGCATATCTGATGAGACATTCTTTGCAGAACAAGTGGGCATCTGCACATTGCGTCAGCTCCTCAAATGGAAATTCCCCATAGCAGCAGCGGCATTCAATCAGCTGGCCATCCTGTTGGCCATGAGAGATATACATAAAATGTCCTATACTGAAGTACAGCCTTGTCTTGCATCCTCATATCCAAACACACCTCCCATCCCCAACCACACATATTCTGAGATAAAAAGCAACCCAGCGGAGCCACAAAACAAAGATAAACTGTTTTCTGCTATATAAATCTAGCTTAAGATGATAGCACATTAATCCACAGCTAAAGACAGTGAGAATTTCATGTGTTTTGTGAGACTCTGTCTCACTCTGTCACCCAGTAGTGTGATCACAATCTAATGTGGTCTCAAACTCCTGGGCTCAAATGATCCTTTCACTTCAGGCTC